CAGGATACTCCATTTTTCTTTTTAGGAACACTGTAACACTTTATTAATATTTTATTTTGAATGACTAGTAGAAAAAGAAGGTCCAGGGTGTTTTTTGGTTTGGGTTTGGTTGGGGTTTTTTTCTTGTTTGTTTTAATGGAAAGTTGTTTTTACTTACTTGCCAGGTTTACAGAAGTATTTTTCCAGGGCTCAGGATTTAACAGTGCCAGTCATGTTTTGCACCTTTCTTTTACACATCTTCTTTTTCTTAGCAAACACATGTTTCTCTTGCATGCTGAGTTTTAGTTTACTGCTGCTTCTCTTGCTGATAAATGATATTTTCAAATCACTGTACAGCTTAGCTCCTGTCTGAATAGTGAAACTGAAGTGGACAACCATTGATGGAGAAGTGAAACCAATTAACAAATCCAGCATGTAATAGAAAAAAGGGAGAGGGAAGAAAAGTTGTCTGATATTTTTTGCTCAAGTAATCTTAGGAATTTATTAGAAAGCATCATAGATGTACAATATTCAAGTTGAAATCTCCTTTTCTGTGCAAGGGTGAGTACCTCTTAAAGCTGATTTTGAGGCATACCTTGTAGCTCTCTTGGAAAAAGTGGTGGTGAGAAAGCATGTTTCTAAAGCACTGCATTGTGCACAAAGGGTAGAGAGAATTAGTGCTTGTTTGGAAAAAGGGGAGGGGGGGAAACCCTAATTCCAGGATTAGGTTTTAGGATTGGCTGTTAAAGCATAGGCACTCATGTTTTCCTTGTAATCTGAGCAAGTAAGTGTCAGACACAATAATCACGGAAAAAATTTCCTCTCTGTAACATTTTTACAATATTTTCCCTTGTATGTGCACATTCAGCCAGAGTGAATTGAGAAGGTGTGTTAGCTGGGACAGTTACTGGCTGTCCCCTCTGCAGGAGTCACATTGCTTAGCTGCTGAAGACTGAAAGGTGAATGTAACTGCAGTATACTGCATAAAAGCTGCAACTGTCCTCAGAAGTGATGCTACACGCAAGTTACTGAAGGCCACATTGTATGTGGAAAGGGACAGCCTGGCTGATTGCTGTCCTTGGACAAGAGTGGATGCAGAATTTAAGGGGAAAAACTCTGTAGAAGCTAGATAAATTTGGATCTTCTTCCCTTAACTAGTGTTCAACAGTCTGAGGACCATGATCAGGGAGTATAAGCTGCTAGTTATATTTTGTCTTTCTCTTTTTAAGAAAGCAAATGGTATACCCTCCAAAAACAGCACAAACATGTACCAACAGTGAAGTTGATATAAATCCGAATTCTTGGCTGTACTTGAACAAATGCTGTCTGTTTGAAAACCCATTTAACATCCTCTCTCAGACCCCAGTGTTTATTACTGTTATTCCATCTCTGATCATGATAAAGTTATTTTCATAACAGGGAGGCAGGATATGATTATAATATATATGATTTTTGTCTTGCCTTGATCCATCCCTCTTGTTGCTGAGTTAAGGCTTGCCACACGTGTGACTGTAAATAGCTGCAGTGGTTGGAGCATGGTTGTATTTTGTGGAGGAGACTGGAAAACTGCAGTTTAACCTGCTGCACTCACTTTTTATTATATGCATATGCCTGTGTAGTTCCCAGCACAAAATTTGGCCCTTGTTGAAAATACCTTTTGGCATACATCAGTTATAACTAAGCCAGTAGAAACTTGCCCTTAGCTTTGGCTGAACAGTAACTCAGTCTTGTCTGGACTCTGTTTTTGGTGAAGTGGCAGGAAAAATCTCAGTACTTTTTGAGCCAACTCATAAAAAAAATGTTTCTTGCTTTAGCATATGATTTTTAAAAGAAACTGAGAAATTTATACTAAATCAGTTACGATTTTAGAGTAGGCTTATAGCTAAATAATAAATATTTGGTGAATGAAAGCGTGTCCGTAAATGTTACTGCCATAAGGGACTATGTACTTGGGAACTACAGTAGTGATGTAGCCAGAATGTGTCTTGGGCACTAGTAAACCTTTTTCAAGTTTCTCTTTATTCCAAAAAAATCAACTTTTTGAGCCAATGGTACCAATCTTGTCAATTGCCAATCTGTGACTTCATGTTGCGAAAATGGAGCTCTTGAGACTTCAGAGTTATCAGCAAAAAGTTTTGCATCCAGCAATACTGTATATCTCATTTTTTAAAAGCATTTCATCTGCTGTGATCACATTGAAAACCCTAACTGGATTTTGAGATCTTTTCTTCTGCTTTAGCAGTTTAGAAAGATGCCCTCCCCTGTATTTTACCAGGTAGAGTGTGTTAATAAACTAAATCAAGTTTCAATAGATTCAATAAACTAACCATACAGAAAAAAAATTGAGGCAGTTATTTTTTCATTAGTTTTTTGATGCATCTGGAAATATGGCACAGTTGTTCCAGTGATAGACACATGCTTTTTTTTTTTTTTTTTAGCACATGCACGTTACAGTAAGATGGATGTTTTGGTACATGTTCAATGGCATTTAATTTGGGGAAATGTGAGAATCTGGGAGTGTACATTGCCTGTGCTATGCAGATAGGGTTATAGATTTTAAGAAAGGAGTCTCAGGAAATTAATTAGGACATACTCATTATTTGGTTTATGCTTTGGTTTACTGATTACCATGACCGGGAATTAATTTGACTTATTCCTTATCTGTATAGCTAGATACAGAGGTCTCTCATTTCTTCCTGTCAACTATTTGTTCTTACCAGAACAGCTCTGTCTCTAATGGTGGATGTTAACTTGATTGGTAACTTTAAAGTTCATGTCATCTCCTCCCTGATTTGCCCCATGGTGGTCTTTAACCACTGTTATGCTGCACATCAGCAATTCTTATCTTTCCTTGTCTTTTGACATTTTTACTGAATCCATCACTTTATTCTCTTTTTCTTGCAATGTCTTTCATCTCTGACACCTTTGGTATCCAGTTGAAGATGGGAGTGCTGTTTCTGTGCCAAGAATAATTACATTCCTTTTATTTTTACTCCTTCAACAACTTTTCATCCTATGTCTTTGTGCTTTACCAATACTGGCCTACAAAGGGGTCTGTGGCAAGCTCTACAACCCTGTGCATGTTGGTACTACCCGGAATCCCCACTCTCGTCCTCCTGCGGTTTGTGGTAACTTTTTCTATGGCCTCCAGGTCTCCTCTTTCAGACTCCAGAACATAAAGTGCTGTTGCCATCTTCTTATAAATGCAGAGTTTTATTGTGTCAGTGCCAAATGAGTTTGCTGTCATTTCACATCCAAGTCAAACTTGCTGTGTTTTTATAACAAACAAGCAAGCAAACACCTTTTTGATTTTGTCTTGTTCTTTTCTCTCTCCTTAGCAACTCCGCCTTTACTTATCCCTGCCCACCTCTCCCACTCTTTAATCTGTTTTCCCTCTGTTCCAGCACCTTCCTGGGCTGCTTTTCAGCTTATTGTTTCTATCATATCTATGAGAGTTTCTCTCCCTTTCATATACATTCTTTTCTCACATTGCCTGCATGGCAAAAATTGTCAACAGCAGTATATATGAAATAGAAATACAGGTCTGCCCTTTGAAATTAAAGAAATTGCCACTAACCTAGATGTTATCAGTATAATGCTGCAATTGTGCTGTACTGGGCTTTTCTATCATGTTAATACTGATAATGGTATTTATGTTGTTAACACTAATAACTAAGGAAGCTGTGGTTAGTTCCTTGGATCATCAGTTACTCAGAGTGACTTATTGAGGACTAGCTGTTCATGTGATACAGCATCTCATCTTTGAATGCATAGCTGAAATTAGTTAAATAAAGATAAAAAAAGATATTTTAGTACACGTTTTCCTAATACAGCTTTTTACTATGAGAAGTTGCTTTCATTACTCTAAAAAGATATATGGTTTGCATTATTGCAGGTTGGAAAAAATAATCTGAGACAGTACATGTAGCCAAAACTTCGGATGAAAAACAAACCTTTCTTCAAACTGCTTTGCTATAATGATATGCACATTATCATGATGGACCAGTTAAGAGATATAGCCTTTCCAGTATGCAGTAATTAATTTTATTTTGTTTCTAGTATGTTTTGTAATCACATAATATGCCATGCTGAATATGCCACTAAGCAGTGTTGTTAAACAGCACTACGACTGTGCTATGCACTGAAGAGTCATACCATGTGCCTTCCTCATAGCTCTTGGCAGGTGAATTCTGTCTTGTGTAGAGTCACACTGGCCTGCAAGAGCCTTGTGCTGAACATACTGAAAGGATACACTAACACTGACATTCAAGTTGAGCTGACCAAGTCCCTTGAAAAAGCTCTCTCTTCTTCTCAATTCCAGCTGCCAACGTTTCATAGCAAAGAAGCAAACTTAATCAATGACCTATAAAACAAAGATGAGAAAAGAAGATAAAGGACTTTGCTGATAGACCTGTTAGTAGGCACAATTTTTGCAGATGTTAGTATAGAGTGATGTGTCTGCAGTCGGTGACACACATAATGCTGGATAAATTTGAATTTGCTCCTGAAAAAAAAAAAAAAAAGCCTCTTCTGGGAAACTACTCATTCCAAAAAATGCAGAGGGGGAATATTTATAGAAGGTGAGAAAATATTTTGGGTTCTATGCATAGTGAATAATGAGTAACTCAGTCAAGTGTAAATGACTTAAAAGGAAAGTGTCTATGAAGAGATAAGCTACCTGGTAAATTTTTTCTGTTAGGCAGTAAATCAGCAAGGCACATGCCAAAGATGAACTTTCACTTCAAAATTATGCTAAATCAGGATCTTAAAAATTTGGCCTTGAGAATGGAGTTTTTTCAATCTTACGTGTAGTTCTAGACTGTAGATACAAAAAAAATGCTGCAGGTATTCCTTCACCCGGCTGCCTTTGCTCTGTTTTACTTCTGTTTGGATACGTTGTCATCACTCTTAATCTGGTGAAGTAATTTTTGAAATCTTGGTTTAAAATTAGGTATTTTACAATTCCCATGTATCATCATAAATCATGAATGTTTGGTTTCATATTTCATTGCAGAGGAAAACAGATGTGCCACTTCAAATGCAGCAACATGCACAAAGTGTCTTGCTTTGGGTCCAGAATGTGGATGGTGTGCTCAAGAGGTATGGCATTTTGCTTATTTATGTTTGACTTTATATTTTAGCTGCTTCTGATCTTTATAAAGATAGAAGACTTTTAAACTGTGAAAATTATAGTGAGAAATAGCAATAAAATCTTTAAATGACCCCTGGAGACAGAACCTGAGAAATCATGTGAAATATTTTTTGTTTCCAAAGGAGAAAATACAATCTTTTATTTGGAAAATTACAGTAATTTTAAATAAAGTGAGAACTTTTTAATGCATTCCATCTGCTTTGTAGACAGCTTTGGCAGACTTGTAGTAGCTTTGAGAGTTCAACAGTTTTTGGCTTCAAAAGCAAAATTACTTATCAGTAATTTATATTAAGTCCTCATTATATATCAGAACAAGTCTATACACGTATGCCTATTGCATTTAGCAAAAGGTTTTACTAACAGTGGAGTTAACTTTGACTTTGCCATATCTTATAACCCTGCCACATCTTATGACCCTGCCACAAATGGAAAAAATGATACTTTTCTTATTTTGACACTTGAAACTGTCAGTTCTGAGACTTATCACAGAAGATAAATCTCAGGTAGCAAGAATTATTCTGAAACTGTTATTGCTTTGCATACTGCAAGAATATGGGAATTTCTGGTTTTGTTTGACAGAAAAAAACAGTTGGTTACATGATTTCAAGTAAGGCTGTACCTTTTTAAGCACTTCAGAGGAGAAAGGTTTTTAAGAATATCAATGGAAATTACAAACTCATATGCTCTTGAAGGTCACATGCAAGTTATCTGTAGTAGCTTTTGTTAGCAGAGGAGGTAGGTAAATTCTTAGGGTGTGCCTGGAAGAGATAAGGAATGTAAGGCACTGGTGTAACTTTACCCAAGGTACTGTGTCTTGGAATGATTAACTTAGTCTGAAACAAGCATAAGGAAAAGTAAGGCAAGAGGCACGGGGGGGATTTTTTTCCAATGCATTAGGGCATGTGTCAATGGCATAATGGATTACAATGTGGAGTGGTCCAGTATTGTGGCCTGATGTCCTGTCTTGCAAAGGGCCCAGTTTTATCGTGCTACATCTGTATTTATCATGGAACAGCACTTGTTAGCTTTCCAGTGCTACAGAGCTGCAGTAGGTCTCCTTCTAACTAGGCGCTTAGATTTGACCAGGTTTCACTTCTGCTCTGCTTCTCTTGCTTCACTCCTCACGTCAATCCTGAAAGTTTTTCATGGAAGCTAGGGGTTTGTCTAACCCACTTAGACCATGCTTTGATAGCCGGTTCACCTATGCACCATCCATGGTTGTGGAATGGCAAAACCCATATTAATGCAGATACAGATTTTCCAGAGTAAAGTTATCAGAGCAGCTTTCACCTTAGCATGCCTGCTTCATCTAAACGATGTTTTTAATGAGAAAATCAGCCCTGAGCAACACTTGAGATGCTTTGACTTCATGCCCGCACACAGTGAACTTCAGAAAATGCTACATATCTATCAGTCATTAGTGATAACAATGAGAGTAGGTAAATTCTTTATACATTTAAAAATCTACCTTTTTTGAAATATATATACATCAAAAAGGGTATATAAACAGCAGTAACCTAAAAAAGTAATCTCTGTTGTCTACATTAAAGAAGGTTATGGAAAAAATATATCAGAAGTAGACTAAAAAAATTAGTTGGAATTTGGAAAACAAGATACGTGCCTGTCGAGTCTCATTCTTCAGGGGCTTTCTCTGGTCTTTTCAGGGTGTGGATGACTATTCTCTAATACACAGTTGGCCGTATGCACTTTTTGATTGTTTATTTTCCCCGTCTGCCTCTGAAATATCAGAGATTGTCCATTGTTTGGTCACCAGCAGTGGCTGAGATGGACCAATGCTTTGAAAGAATACAAAGAATCTTGTCTTTTTTTTTCTTTGCATGATCACGATCATGTTAATCATCAGATTTGTGGTCAGGAAGGAATTTTGCATTGGATCATGTTGGCACAATTTTGGCAACTTTGCCCTTTTGCTGCAACAAAGGATGTGCTGCTTCTGAGATCATCCTACTACTAATCACTTTTCTGTTATTACAGGGGCTTTTTTATGTTGGTGGCATCTTAAACTGTCCAGTCCTGTTGTACATAGCTTCCTCTTTCTGGGGATTGAAATGATATAGTCCAGCTGATTTTGGGATTTGGTGTAGGGTATGGGGTAAAACTTGAACATCTGTAATAAACAAATTCAGGTTAGATAAGTGTAAAGCTGACTTCTGCTGCTACTTTTAAATATTAGCCCGAATAACATTACCAGTGGATTCGTTTGAAAACTAACCTGTTTTGATGTTGTGTGAATGACATTTTCTTGCTATAACTAACTCATAGCATAGCACAGAACTTTTTTTAGTGACATAGTGACAGTATGTAGTTTCCTTTTTCTCCAAAGTCAGCTTGTTCTGATTGTGCAAGATCCTCTTTCTCATACAAAAGTTTTGTCCTTTGTAGAAAAAAGTCATTGTGGCAATTAGGTTTAACTTCTAATTTAAATATTTTGTCATTGCCCTTATTAAAAACATATGGCTTCCATGAACTCGTTCTACAATTTATGCAATTATAATAGCATATCTTATTGTTTCAAAGACTATTATTTTGGTTTTCTCTTTCCTTTGAAGATATTACAGTTGTTTTTTTCAGCTCAGATTGTTTTGTACTTTTTGTCTCTTATAAAACAGGATTTCATGGCCGATGCAACACAGAAGGGACGCTGTGACACTGTTTTCAACTTAATGAAAAGAGGCTGCCAATCAGATTTTGTAGAAAATCCCACAGTTCATGTCACAATACCCAGTGACCATGAAACAAATACACAAGTGACACCAGGAAAAGTTTCAGTCCAACTGCGTCCAGGTTGGGTTGTCTCTAACACATTGATATTATAGTCAATTTAAACTAAATACAGTAATATTAAGTACAAATATTTTGCGAAGAAGTGGCTGGAAAGAATTATTTTGAAGAATGATGCTATAACATTATATTGTACAACTATGATGGTGTTGCTCCCATATTCAAGTATGGTCTCCAGCAAGAAGTGTTTCTGTCAAACACAGCTGAAGGTCAGAATAATGCAAGCAATAAGTGGAAAAGGAATTTTAGGTAGTCTTTTCTGTTTTCTGTTGTGATTTCTTGATTATTTTTCTTTAGCACTTACACAAATAGAATCATATAATCATAGAATCATTTAGATTGGAAAAGGCCTTTAAGATCAAGTCCAACCGTTCACCTAGCACTGCCAAGTACACTACTAAACCATACCCCTACACCTACCACATCTACATGTCTATTTTAAATACCTCAGGGGATGGTGACTCAACCACTTCCCTGGGCAGCCTGTTCCAATGCTTGAATAGTTTTCCCTTAGATGCATATAAATTGTTATTCCTTAATGAAAGTAAATTGAGTTAGAATTCCTAAATTCATAATTTGATAAGCTCCTTGATTTTCTGGTTACTTTTAAGTGCGTTGACTAGACAACTGTGAAGACACCAAGGCCAATATATAAGGAAGGACTGGATTCCTAAAGGAGACTTAGGTATTCACTGCCTAACATTTCATTTGTAAAATGTGTGACACATGATCCTAATAGAATCTACAAATCCCTTTATGGATCTGAGATTTTCTAGTATATCTCTATTTACCCCCAGCTGAACTTGAGTTAAATCAGTGTATGTTCTCTGTCTCTAAAATAGCTGTAGCCAACAGCAGAAGTGGAAGGTGATATAAAGGATGCAGGGTATGTTTCATGTAATAAAATTTCATTTATTTATTTCTTTTGCAAATGATAGTTGGAGAAATAAATATGTCATTTAAGAGGGATCAATCTTTGGTAGAAATACATTAAATTAATAGGAAAAATTGGAGTTACTGTAGTATCTTGCTCATCTTCACTGTATAAAAGGTAACTTTCTGTCAATTACCAGGGAAAAAGGAAGGATCTTCACAAGTGTAAGGCACAAAGAAATTCTGGTTTTCCATCTTTACAATAATAAAAATAAGAAAGTGACATAGCACTTCCTCTCCTTTCCCCACTCTCCTTCAGAGAAATTACTGATAGTCTGCCTTGTACTGAGAAATGGTCTCAGGAACTGAGCTAGCTCTAGAAGTGTTTGTAATCACATTTATTTCCAAAGGCATGCTGGATTTATATAAAACACTTAGCTTTATAAAATTTGGTTTAATGAACCGTTTTGCCAGTAAACAGAGAAACTAACTTTGAGGTTCCATATGTGTTGCTAAACCTCTTGCATCAGGGAGGCAGAAGACTGAAATTCCAAGGACTCCAGAATAGCTTTTGATATATAGACATCCTGCCCATATTTTATTCCCCTTGGAAATACACAGATATACAGCTATAGTTGTACCTCAAAACAGAAATTTGATACAGTATAATTATGCAGACAAAGATTTTTTATTTTGTCACTCTTTACATATACCCAACTATCAGGCTTGGTGTGGGAAAACATAAAAGCTTCACTCACCATCTCAGTATATGCAAACTGGAGACCTGCAAGGGTCATTTGCAAAAAGTAATTTGATTTACATTGGCAAAGAGGAAACACATAGGTTACAGCACACTGAAATTCTGTTTTCTTTGTGCAAGACCAGATACAGACAAATCCTGATATTTTCAGGTGGATTATATTCAAACACCATTGGAAGAAAGTATTTTGCGTATTTAACCTCTCTGTGTCAGATCTTTATTACACGTACTTCAAGTATGCTATCTAACAATGTCATATGCACTAGTAAATGTCATGAATAGTGAAGTCACTTTTCAGGTGCTTTTCTTAGTGAATCTGTTTCTGAATGTGTTTAGACAGCTTTTCTTGAAAAGCTGCATAATTCTTCTATAATGTCTCCCTTCCTCCTGTCCTTTCCTGTGTCTTCATTGCATAATACTGAATTAGATTCTGCACTCATCATGCAAACATCCTACTCCCTCATTTCTTCTGTGAGCTCACACTTTGGGTGAATAATTTGAAGTTACGCATTACTGTACCTGCGTAGCCCATACTCCAGTATACTGGTGTATACCAGCCCATACTCACTTCACTCTTTTTTTGCTGGCATTACAGAATATTAGGCAAGGAAAAATGTGGGGACTATTTAGTGGCTTCCAAAGCATTAATGTTTTTATTACATATGAGAGCACGATGTGGTTCTGCAGAAGAGACAGCCATTTGCCATCCTGAAATAAAAGAAGACTTCTGTTTTGTATACAGCAAAAGACGGATTTCTTAAAATGTTAAAACCTCTTTTTTTTTTTTTTAAATATTTTGATCCTACCAAGTTTCTCATTGAATCTTTGGAAGTAGATTGGTGTAAACTTGAGGCACAATTTACGTGAATTTTTCAGGCTGTGCTGCCTTTGTGGTACATGTGTAGTTTTAGACTCACATGACAAAATATTTGCAGGATACACTTACATACTTAGAAGTGTCAACCTTGAAGTGACTGACCACAATTCGTATGCAGATCTGTCTCCTTTGTGAGTCATAACTCACAAGCTTTTTGGTATAATGCCAAAAGGATTGCATAACGAGGAATTGAAAAGAGAATGGGGAGAAGTCAGACTTTAACAATAAATTGCACAGTGCTCCTGTGAGAAAGAAAAAGCAAGATGTTTTATGAAGAGCCCCTTTATGGCTTGTTTTTGAACAATGCTTCAAATTTTCATTTACTCTTGGGAGATTTTTTTGTTTGCTTATATATTTGCTGACACAAACAACTTTGTGCTGCAGATGCTGTGAAAATGAATGTATTTTTAAGAGTGTCCATTCAAAAATAGTAAATAAACTTATTTGTTTCCTTTGAATCAGGAAGTGAAGCAAACTTTATGTTAAAAGTTCGTCCTCTAGAGAAATACCCTGTGGATCTTTATTATTTAGTTGATGTCTCAGCCTCTATGCACAACAATATAGAAAAACTAAATTCCGTTGGATTTGCTTTATCTAAAAAGATGGCAAATATTTCTCTTGATTTTCGACTTGGATTTGGATCCTATGTGGATAAAACTGTGTCACCCTATATTAGCATTCATCCAGGTAGAATCCATAACCAATGCAGGTATGTAATCTTTGTATATTTACTGTAACAATGAGAAATTACTTAATTACACAAATGTGTATTATGCATATTTATTTTTAAAGCTCTTCAGAATTTGTCTTTGTTTCATTATACCTTGGTTCTCCATCAAAGTTCCTAAGAAAATGCTGGAAATTATTATACAATGCTTACTTCTGAAATATCTGGTGAGTGAAAAACTATTTCTGTATCAGAAAAAATATGCACTATTTTCTTCAGCAAAACAAGCCAAAAAACATGCTGCTTTGGCATATTTGAATATGTTTTGCATTTAATTTTATAGTCAACTGTTATGTTCGTAGTTATTTTGGATATATGTTGCCTGGATTCATCACAGAGTTTTGTACTTTTTGACTTAGGACTTCTCTTCTGGGGTAGGGTCATGTATTCATTAACTCTTTTCATAAAACTCTACTTTTGTTGATGCAATGCAGTTTCTTTCCGCTCATTTAATGAACAAAAGCGATCCTCTGATCTAATTCCACAGTTTTGGTATGAACGAACTCCCACTTTAAATAAGAAAGGTGTTCTGGCTTGCATTTCTTTTTCATGCCATGCCTTTTATATCTTGCATTCAACACTTACATAAAGCGAGGGATCACTTCCAAAACCTTCTGGAGAACAAGATTATTCATAATCAATTCAAGTCTGTATAAACTGTAATACTTGGAAAAGTGAATATTAACTATTCACACCTTCTTGCTCATTATTATCTTTCCTGGGAAGAAATAATCCAAAGTTCTGTGAAATCCATAAACATCTTTTTTTTTTATTTCAGTGATTTTTGAATTGGGCACTAGTAGTGGAATTCATTAGATAGGTATAAATGTCTATGTTTGAAGTAATCCTCTAGACTGTCTATATAGTCAGTGGAGATCAGTTAGCACTGCCAGGACATGATTCATTTTGTCTAAAAGTAGACATCTGCAGAGGTATTAATCCTTACAGTGGCAGTTTCTCTTCGTTGACTATAAATTGAGTCAGGGGTGGGCAGGTTACAGTCCAGATGCCTACACTGTATGCAACAGAAGGTGAGATGAATCCTGCTCAGCATCTCTGAATCAGATGAGTACCTCAGTTTGTGCTATGAATTCCACTGCCCTAAATGGGTCACAGAGCAGCAACCTATACATGTGCCATGGCGTTAGCTTACTTATGTCAGACTTCATCCTTTCTCCCCTTATATATTGTTTCAAAAAGTATCATTTACCACAAAGATGATACAGTAAATGGAGTTTCCCATCCATTTAATGAGGACGTTTAATGTCATTAATCTCAACATTAGTTTTATGTACATTTACTTCCTAATAGTGAATATGGGAACTTAAATTTTATTTTAGTTTTGATCCAGTAGCTTGTTAATAGCCTAAGCTATTAAAGGATCTTAATGCTGTGGTGTAATAGCCCTTTCTCAGGATAATGAAAAGCAAAGCTGTACCACTCTGTAGATGTTCCAAAAGGGGTGATACACTCTCTGAGATCATACCATCACTAATATCACGTTTCTTCTCATTCTGTACAGAAACACTACCTAGGTACTGTTACTGTATGAACTAAATTATATTATATGCATTTCCATAACATACCAATAAAATCTGTTGTTCATAGTAAATTCAAACTAATCCCCACTGAACTTAATCTTATTTGAAGTTATTTTTCTTTAAGTATTTCTTTCATTTTGCATATATACATCTTCATTAGTAACAGGATTTTATGGGTTGATAGGCAATATTTACATGTCCTTCGAATGAAAAATATGGCATGTGTTAGACTCCTGTTTTGTTTTGTTTTTGTACAGTGATTATAATTTAGATTGTATGCCTCCTCATGGTTATATTCATGTGCTATCCCTGACTGAAGATATAGCAGAATTCAGAAACGCAGTGAATAAACAAAAGATTTCTGGGAATATTGATACACCTGAAGGAGGTTTTGATGCGATGCTCCAAGCAGCTGTGTGCCAGGTAGGGAATTTATTAACAAAAGACTAAATGGTAGTTCAGACATCAATATATATATTAGTACAACAGTGCTCAGTGTTCCTGAATTCAAAATGTCAGTTCAAGGACTGATAATAGCAAGATTCCTTCTTCCTTTTCCATTACTTCCCTTTTAGGTATACATTTCCTTTCCTGCTAAAGGAGAGCATAAGGAAATATTTTTCAGTATTGATTAATGATATTCTTTACCAGCCTAACCAATATAGGATGGGCAATGAAAGCAACTGCTTCTTGCCTTAACAGGCACATGTATTCATTTCAGCCAACTACAAAATTCATTTAAAAAATTACTGAAGCCTTCCTTGTGTTCCTAAGTGAAGACATACCATTTGATATTTCTTCTACTTAAGAATGTATTTGAAAACTAAAGGGTCAGTTACATATCTGCTCATGTAGATAAGGAAAACAAATGCACCTCAGTGTTATCGCATCTTTTAAAGAATTTAGAAACAATACAAATCAATTAAAAATCAACTTTTGTCTACTGATAAAATTTCATCACCCTCTCTCTCATGCAGAAGAGGGTGGAAAAGATCTGCATCAGTAGTTCCCAAGCTATAATCATATTAAATAAAAAGAATTTGTTTGCTCTAAAGGGCTCTTTTGCATATTGTTTTTCTCCTATACATAGTATTGCAATAGAGATTTTGAAAGTTGGGTGATTCATGGGTTTGCTAATGCTCTATCAAATGGTCTTTCTGGTGCTCTTAAAGAAAGTAATTCAACTCCTGTCCAAATCACAGGCTTCATCTGTTTCTCATCTCTTGGGATGACGTCAAGATGTTTCTTTTATCTTGTCCATCTTCACATTCTCTTTTGGAACACTAGAATGAATCAGGGCCAAAAAGGAACCCAAACTGTGTTAAAAATTAATACATTGGCCCCAATTTTATTTTCACATTTTGATGAGCTGTAAAACAGGTAAATAAAAGCCACTCTTCACAGACATTCTGATCACAGCTGTTATAAAAACTTATCCTGAAGCTTTGGAAAAAGTCCTTAAAATCAGTGTTTCTCATTGGACACATTCCACACTTATGACATGTGAGCTCTAGAATAATATATGCTTCCAAAAACAATAGAATGGAAACATTCATGAGCATGAGGAGGCTTTCCTGCTAACTGAATTGTGAACCAAAATGGATGAGAACAATGTGCAATTCATAACTACCATCATGAACTATAATTTATATTAATGTGCATTCATTTTGCCTACAATAGAACTTTATAACTTGCTTCATCTTGCTTTAACCAATATATCCCTGTTGCAAGCACTAGCAGGTTAGGACATGAAGCTTCTTTAAAATTTTGGTTGCTGTGATGTATGTAGGTAGGAGTCTTGAGGTGACAAAAGTGAAATGATGGAGTTTTAGGAGCAAGAAGTTTCTACAGTGCTGGAGGAGAGTTTGAGATTAAGATATAACCTGCTTAAAATACCCCTTCTTTAGGGGAATGCTGTCTAGGATAGTCTGAGGGGGGCTGATACCTAACATGTAAACTGGAAAAGGCACCACACCCCTCTGTGCTTATCCCTGCTGTTACGAGATACTTAATCCCCATTCAGAGCTAGCAGGGAATGAGCCTGAGAAGGGAGCTAAATCCCTCTTTGCAAAGCAAAGAAAGGAAAGGTAGAGAATAAGTCATGAAGCCTGGCTGAATACATGAATGACTGTTATTTCAGATACAGGTTTCACATGCGATGAAAAATACCTGGCAGTGATAAGGGAAATGGTAGAGATGAGACAGGGTTGTAAGGAGGAGGAGCAAGGAAGGAGGAAAAAGGAAGAAAAATTGAATTAGTGAAGAAGATGATGGAATAATTGGGAGGGGGGATAATGACAAAGAATGAGAGGTGATTCATGTGTGCATCTAAAGTTTGATTCAAAACAGCCGTTTATTCCTTGCAGGGAAATAAATGTTACAGAAATACAAATTGGCGCCTAACACAGTTTAGTTATAAGCTTGCCCTGCTACCTCCTTCACATCACTGAATTCCTAAAACGCATTAAATTCACCCTTGCAAATGCCACTTTGCTATTAATCCCTTAAGATGATGGATAGATATACTATTTTGCTGCATAATAAAGAATTTCTTAGTTTTCAGGTGCGTGAAGACATTCGAACTTCAGTTTATTGATTGGCTGATCATATGCCAATGTCCTTTCTGGAAAACTGTGTAGGAAAATGAAATTATAGAATGATGAGAATATAAAGTAAATAAAGTAAAAATAGAAGAGAACACCAAGTACCAATACAAATAAATGCATATTTATTTGTTGTAATGCTTTTTGTATCCCGGAGAATTTTACAAATACTGTGCATTTGCATTTGTATGTAATAGACGCACACAATGTGGCAGCTGTTACCCAAGCCCACTATATAATGCATAACTTGTATATATTTTAGAAAGGTCTTTCTTCAAAAAGCAAAGTAAGTGGTAAGTGGATCTCAGACTCACAGTATTAGTTTTCTGACGTAAGACATGATATACATTTTCACACAAAATGCTTTAAATAGCCTGGTTTCAACTCAGTGCTGCTAAGCAGTGTAATATCTGAAAGTAGACTTTCACATTCATTTTTCATTTTGTTATTTATTATTTCAGAAAATAGGTAGTTACTACTTTCTTATGCTTAATTTTGTTTTCTTTTTAGAGCCATATTGGATGGCGTAAAGAAGCAAAGCGACTGCTTCTTGTGATGACAGATCAAACTTCCCATCTGGCCCTTGATAGTAAATTAGCAGGGATCGTAATTCCTCATGATGGAAATTGTCATTTGAAAGATAATGTGTACATCAAAGCTACGAGTATGGTAAGGTATATGTCATACATTCTGCCTTCAGAGAAGCAGCGTAAAGCTGCCTAAAGGAGGTTTTAGGATTGCTGCCAAAGCATTGCTTTTATTTCAGTTATTAGAATAGTATTTTTCCAGGTAGGCAAGATGTGAAATGAAGAATCAATCACCTGGAAATACTGACATTCTTTTTGTGGGGGATAACGTATTTTGGAGTCTGAGACAACATTTTGTATAAAATATAAGAAAGAAGTGTCTGGTGTGATATTTTGCACAAGAAGAAGCTGGTAATAAGTGAGAATTGCACAATCCTGCTAATAAGACAAAGGTAGTGGTCATGGTTTATGGTCAGAAGATGCACAGTTGCATTGATTGAAAAGGCTTGGTAAGAGTAAAAGAGAAGACATACAACATCAATGAGCTAAATCAACCTTGATGGACTAGAAAATATTTGTGCGCCACAAAGCTTTGCTGTGGTAACGTAGCATTTGAACCTCACAGTATAAAGCCAATGTGTGGTAATACATACATGTGCAAAAAATTGCATCAAATCCCCTATAGCAAAATAATAAGCCTTCGGCAGATATTTTTAGCTTTCAAAATAATTTCTTCAAGAATATGTAAAATAGTCATGAGTGATTGAAGAAAGGAATTTTTTTTCTAAGATTTGTAGTATTGAATTGCTTTGGCTATTTCCTTAAATAAATGTGAATCATTCATTTAAGAAACATGAATCATTACTTAGTTGCCATGTAATCACCAGAAAACAGAAGTATGAGCTGTGTTATCATTAGAGCACATTACAGTTTTATTCTCAGTCGTAGCTGCACTTAAAATACATAGCCTGTGTTCAGCCCAAGCCAGCGATGTGCTAGTGAAGTCAGTGAGGGCTATGTGTAAAATAGGCTAGACCTGATTTTAGTCCTGGCAACTGGTGTTTACAAGGATGGTGGGGCAGCAGGAAGCAGCCGCTGTATGGTGTGTGATCATGAAATACGGGAGTTTTCTGGGAATCGGTGGGTGTTCGGGGCCTTGCTGAGCGGAGGAGGGAGCTGAGCGAGTGCTAACAGGAGGGTTGTTTGGATTTCCGATTATCTGATGTTCTTGCATTCATATACTCTCTGTCACCTCTTGGATATTCCCTCACAGATGTCAGGATTATTTATTTCCCTCTAGCCAGTCTGTTCAGTTTCAGTATTTCTACAGTGTCCCTGGGATAAAAAACAACCCCTTCCTTTATTCTACTTAAACCAAATAATGCCAAAACTTTCCCAAAGCAGAGCATACTTACAGGCTATGGTGTCCCTATCTCTATTTTGGCTTCTGGGTTTGTTTCCCCCTAACTTCAGTGCTATAAATGAGACAAGTTTTGTGCTGCTTATTAATAATTGCTAAAGGTACATATTTTATTCTGGTGTTCAGGATTCCTTTGGTGACAAAGATACTGTCTGTTTCAGAAAAAAACCCAACTATATTTTCTGTCCAACTTGAGAAATAAATTTCTGTTTCAGCTGGAAAACCTCACCAATATAAAATACAGAAAAAATTAATTATTCTCTTTCTAAGGAACTGTGACAGGTTGATGGCTGACTGAAGAAGGTGTTTTCTGGATTCTGGGCTGAAAGATCATGATTTTACCATCCCATATAGAATAAGAAATCTCCATGATTATTGCTATTGATTCCTTTTGGGAAATGAGGTAGTCTTTTTAGCCACCAAAATGAAATGACCTTGAAAGATGCTTAGATCTGTGGTGGCACATTTTTGGCCCATGTGTTTTCTGGCTGCTAGCCCATATCCTTTTCAACCACGGGCTTATTCTGGCATGCCCACATATTAAAGTGGGCATGCGCTTGGTAATAAAAAAGGGGTAGAATGGAAATCTTTCTCAGTATTAGGTATTTTCTGGAGTAGATTTGACATGATAACACAATAGGGTTTGTAAGGGTAGGTGTACTGGTTTCCTGCTTTTTTTTCTTCTCAATGGTAAATAGCCTGTGATTATTTTAGTCATAGAGATGCATAAAGAAACTTCAAATGAACAAGTAAAATCAGGGAGGGGAGGGGAATACTCTTTGATATTTAAATGAAATGTCATGAAAGGCTGTCAGCTCTTTAAAAAATACATTGTATGAAACATATTTTTGCTTTTTTTTCCTTATCAATGCAATTTTGTTGTGCTATGCTGAATTAAAGAGCCATCTGTAATCACATCATTTTCCTATTTTGATTCTTAGCTTCTGGTAGTCTTGAGAAGATTGCATTATGGCATATTTTTAGTTCCTCCTTGTGCCAGTTAAGACAACTTCTCTTTATTTATTTGCATAAGCTTAACCTTTACATCAGAAGTGTTTCCAGTCAGTCACTTTTCTGCCTGTTTCTTTCTAAGTTTGCTAAGCAAAGGTCATCAAAAAAGCATAAGACAGGAAAGAAATTTAGTCCATTTTATTTAGATCTGTGCTTGGTTAACTCCCTTTTTGAAATACTTAACATCTGTATTAGTTATCTTAGCTTAACACAGTAGGTTAAAATAATAAAATTAATGATGTAACTGGAACAAGAAAGATGATCTAAAACGAAAGTACATTCGCCTGAGCAGTCGTGGGGAGAGATAAGATAAAAGTACATGAAGTACGGCAAGATTCTTACAGCAAGCAAAGTGAAGCCCATGAGTGACCAACAGTTCCTTATGTCATCTCTTTACATGCTTAAAGTGAAAAAAGATAGTGTGGGTCTGTTGATGCTTTTTTGGTTTTTTAAAGTATCTTATAATAAAACAAATTTTTTTCTTTCTAATCTGAAGTGAGGCTGTAATGTACTACTGACCAAGCTGGGCACTCCAGTGAGGTAGAGCTGACAAGTAGATGAAAGTTCAGCTTGACTTGTAAGCAGACTAAGTATTTTGGAGATCCAGCCCCTGCAACACTTGCATGTCGATGCATGTTGTCTGTTGACTTCAGTAAGCCCCATCTGAATAAGTTTTTGTTTCCTGAGGGCTTGGAAACCCATTTCTGATACCACTGATCCCAGAGTTTTGCCGTTAGTTGCAGAGATGTTGAAGGGCCATTTTGCTGGAATTCAGACATGTCCAGTGTCATATGTTGAGCAGGAGACTGACTTATTTGACCATCTTGTGATCTCTCAACACTGCCGCCATCTTTCACGCACTTTTCACACAGTGCCAGAGGTGTTTGCAGAACACCTGGCTTCACTCGCCTCTGTCCTGGGACCACTTGGTGTGTCTGTGATCTTGCCAGAGAGTTGCATGTCGCCTCTAGGGTTGTGTGGCACAATGGAAGCCCCACCACTGTGGTCTGTGGTCAAGGAGAAGGCAGGAGGCTGTAGTACTGTGTTGCAGGCTATTGAGAATGGCAACAAGGCCACTGCTGCTGCAGTTCACCTACAGCTGTGCTGTGTGGTAGGAACATGTGCTCACTGCACCCTTGCATATGGCACACCCTCCAGCTGCAGCTGTAAGGAGGCCCGTTTATTGCTGTGTTACCTGTCTTTCATCACTTATCTTAAGGAATCTAATCTCTTACCAAAGGGTAAGGGTAAGGTAAGGATCTCAACTTCTCTAAGTTGAGAGCAGCATGGACCCTAGCTAAGATCAAACTGCAGCAAGAAACTCCTTTGTTCTTTCTATACAAGGCTCTTTATAAAGGTGCAATATGATGGAACCCGGATTTTGCCCCCTTGCATAACTGTCTCAGCTGTCTTGGCATTCAGATTGCTGTTAGGAGACCAGTTGACTTGCAGGGTGCCTTGAGTAACAAGTGGCACTCGGAGGAGAAATGGATTATGCAGGGAAACAGAGTGTGTTTGTGCAACAGAGGGACAATATGGGGCAAATGGTAAAAAATATCGGGAAGAAAAAGACAGCAGAAGTATATGGAGGAAAGAGGTTGAAGGTGGCGGTGTCCTGATGAAATCTCTGTAAGGGGAAAAACAGACCAAGGTCCCAGTCACTTCTCTATGTTTAGTCATGAATTTTAAATATCGAATTTACTTCCTGAGAAGCATTCACAGATGTATGGTAAATAAGCAGTAACGTTTAGATACAGTTTGGTTTAGAGTACTGGAGCTGGAGGGTTCTCACATAGCCCAGGTGTACAAAGCACACTGGGGCCACACAGATACCCTTGTGCTCCCCCAGATCTTGGATGAAGGGATAGCAACCCACCTCTTGTTCTCAAATCCATGTCAGATCTCTCAATGAGAAGTGTAGAAGGGCAGGTCACTGGCACAGGACATACCATCATAGATACTTCACCAAATAGGGGAGAACTCATGAGTGAAACTCATGCTACCTTCTTCAAGCACAAGTGTGGTCAAGAAAATGTAGCAGACCGTCATGGTGAGGACTGGAGGCATCACTCCTAAGGCAGGTCTTGGACATACAGAGAAGGAGAAAGCTGTCAGCTGCAAGAAAGATATATACAGAATACTGACATTGGTAGAACATGACCCAGTGTCTGCATTTAGCTGATGTGTCTGATCCCTGGTGACAAAATACATTTCTGAGAAACAAACTTCTCACTACTCACCTTGCTGTTCCCAAGAGCCCACCTCATCTCAGTGCCCTCGTGTTGAACTTTCTCCCTGACTTTTGCACAAGAGCCCACCTATCATTCTCAGCAATCTCATTATTTCTCAAGATGGACCATGGAGATGGACCATGGACAATATCATATCCATATTTCTTAAGCATCTGACTCAAACTGACAAAATAGTACTGTGTGACTTAGTCCTCTCACTGTGCAGCACCCATGCATAATTGGCAACAGATAAGTCTGTCACAGTCTGGCTGATGCCCTGATGATTTTTTTTTGTCATGATCTGTTTATTTGGTTGGTCCCATCTTCTTTTGGATGTAGGCCTAGAATTTCTCTGTACATTTAGAAATAAGGATTGGGATTGTTTTGGAATCCTATATTGTGTCATATGTGAAATATAAGGTTTTTCCCTACTAATCTGCAGTCTTCCCTTTTCTGTTGTATTTTGCAGGAGCATCCATCTCTTGGGCAGCTCTCTGAAAAATTGATTGACAATAACATCAATGTTATTTTTGCAGTTCAAGGAAGCCAGTTCCATTGGTATAAAGTAGGTTAGAAACCTGATTTCTTTTTCCAATTTTGAAAGGACAAAATTTATATTAATAATTAATACTGTGCATAAATGATTGTATTTTTCATAGGATCTGTTACCTCTGTTGCCTGGTACTGTTGCAAGACAGATAGAATCACAAGCAGCAAATCTCAATGATTTGGTGGTAGAAGCCTATCAGGTATGATGAGAGTGACAATATTGTATGCTGTATTTGTACAGGGATTTTTCACCTTTCATAGCCTAAAGTTGGAATTTCCAGGATCTTGGCCTCTATCTGAAGTCCACAAGAATAAGTTCCCTACTGTTCTGAATGTCCAGGTTGGCGGGTGACACCATCCTCAAATTCCCAGCCTGTCAGGTTCTAAAAGCTGAGAGATAGCACTTTTTTCTTTCTAAAGGTGCTTCTAAATATGCTGTTTGATTCTCTGCACCTGTTGCCAGGTAACTTCAAAAGAAATGTCTGGCTTATTTGAATTTTGGCATCTCAGATCTCTAGTTACAGACCAGACACCACTGTCTAGGCACCACATAAATTCAGAGCAAAAAGATAGTGCAGTATCTAGAGGTTTTTATAGCATAATTCTTAGAAAATGGACAACAGGTGGGAATTTACAAGGAGGTAGTTTGACAACAGTGGATATTATGGAAAGCAGGATTTACACTGCACAAAGCAGTATAATGACTCAGAGTTTTGAGTCATAGCAGTGAAGAAGAGTTTTGATAGGGATTTGGGAGAGAACGATGGAAATAGCTTTGTGAACCCTTGCCTGGAGTTCTCAATTGAAAGTAATACTATGAGAAAGTAATAGTTTGGGAAAGAGCATAAAGTCATTTTTCACAAGTGATTGACAGGGAATGGCAACTTGAAAGTGGAAATTGGCCTCTTGATAGTGAATGAAAGAGCCTGGTAAGCGGGGGCATAAACAGCTTTGAAAATGAAGGCAGGTAGTATACGTTTGATGTTCTAGAGCTCAGGGAGCCCACAGAGCAGCATCAAAATGAACGCAATCTGTTAGATGGTTGAATGCTGACAGGGCATGCAAGTTACACAAACATGCAAGTTCCAAAAGTTGGAAAATCAGTGACAAAACTATATGCAAGGTATCAACACGTATCACATTATTTTTTATTATTTGGACATGGGAGGCTGAAATTATCCATTGTACTAGGTTAACCATCTAAATCAGGCTATTTGCTTTCAGTAAATTTGCTATAATGAAGAGCCAAGTCCCATGTCTGTTCCTAGTCAATAGAATGGGTTTGTGCACATTTTTCTCACCGTTGTGTTGGGAACATTGTGCAGAAGGCAGACATTCAAAAGCAGAGGAAGTTAGGTGTAATCAAATTGCAGAGAAGTTCTCACTGATATTATACTTTCTCTTATAAAATCTAGAAATCTAATTTTGAATATGGAGGTTTGCAGGAAATTGCTAGCAAAAAAATTTGAAGATCGTAGTCCTTTCGTATGCCACTTTTACGCTGTCCATCCTAAACTGTATCCCTGTTTATAGAGCACAGTGCAGTGCAAACATTCAAGGAGAGGAAATGAAAATTTACAAAATAATGATTTAGTTCAATGGAAGACTCTGTGGGACTTTCCTGCTCTAGCCACCCCCAGTTTGCTTTTGCCTTATTTTCATTTTTTAGACAGTATCTTCCTTCCTAACCTAAACTTCATTGGATTTGATACTTTGAGAGTTTTATCATATTTTAAGGGGCTTGTAATACACAAACACACAGTTAACAGGGCTTGTATGTTTTGCTTTCTTGAAAGCAAAAGTACTTAGATAAGAAAATTAATTTAGTGTTGATGTTTGATGACAGTGGGCCTCTTGCACTCTTGTTCTAGGCAAGGAAACCTTAGGCTTAGTTGTGGAAAACCCTGGCTGAAAATCCCTGGCTAAATAGCCAAAGATGAGTCACTAATTTTCAAAAAGTTACTAAGATAAACATGTGTTCAGATTCATGTAATTAAATTTCCATTTGTAGCAGCAAAAATATCCCACTAAACTAATTTTTTTAATAGTAATATGCCAGGAATTTTAATAATCTCTGTGCAATTTTCAACTCATAGGTTTGTACAGAGCTTTAATACATTTTTAAAGGGTCAAGAAGCAATATTCCTTCTTGGAAGGATGTAGGATTTTAGAACATGCAGTAAATACAAATTACAAAGTATCTGACTTTTTCATGATTTTATGTTGCAAAAAGCCCTAATGGGAATCAACTAGTTGCTGACTTATATAGTCCTAGCTGACCCAAATAAATCAGTAAGAATAATCCCAATAGCCTTTAGATCACCCTAAGGATTGTTCAGAGGAAATTTTTCCAAGACAGATGCAAAATAACAGAAGTTTATAAAGTGTCAAGTCAATTAGGAACCTTTTCTGCTATATACCAATAGTTCTATGTATGTTTACTGTTTTATTTTAAAAGTGTGGCTGAAAGGCAGTGTAGTCTCTCAAACAATAAGCAGTTTTTGTTGCACATGGTTGTTAGAATAGATTTTCAAATTGCCAAAAATACAGTCTCAAAACCATTTCAGAAAAGCTGAAAACATTTTTCTCTGGAAAACGTAATCCTCTTTATCAGAATTACCAGTTCACTGGTTGTGTATATTTGGAATGTAATCGGGTCTTTATATGGGAAACAATGCTTTAATTCATTCCTTTATTCACACAGACAAGCTTTCTTCATTTTTAGTCAGACATAGTGGCCATACTTGGTGTTAGTCACTAATGCACATTATGTGTTACAATTGAATGCAACTAAAACTTGTTTTCTGGTTACAGAAATTAATCTCTGAAGTGAAAATTCAAGTGGATAACCAGATCCAAGGTCTTCACTTCAATATCACTGCAATTTGTCCTGATGGAAGTAAAAAAACTGGCATGGAAGGATGTAAAAATGTGGGATATAATGAAGAAGTATGTTGATAGTTCTCATTCTTCAAGGAATTGGAATATTTATTTTCCTGTTTGGTTGAGTTACAATGGTGTGAAATCTTTTAGGGATTTGCTTAAACTGCAAATTGATTTATGTAATTAATGATCACAGACTCTCTATTATTCTCTGGTTTTATTTTTCCTGAATCTTATTTTAATTCTCACTAATCTCATGGAACTAAGGCTCAAAGCTTTTCTGAAAGCTAACATCCATTAAAACTCTCCTCCTTTGTCCTCCACTGGGCACAATGGACGTGTTCATTGTGATGAAATCTGCAAATCTGTAGTAAAGAGGTTGAAAGATAATCACCCAGTGGAAAAGAATCACTGGAATTTGTGTTCCTTGGGTCTGTACGAGAAGCCACCTTTTCCTCTCCTTGTTCTAGTAGTCTTCATGCACACTCAGGGTTGTGGATAATTAGTGTATTTTATAAATCAATTTAATAAAATTATTTATCCCCATTTGGATTGGTGCCACTAATGAATGAATGAAACAGATTGTAAAACTGGAGCATCGTGCACTGTTGAAAAATATGGGGAAAGATGTATGGATAATATAAGATGTATGGATAATATAAATAACATAGTTTTCTTCCCAGAACAACTTCTCTGTGCCTTGATATATTTATTTTAATTGCTTGGACCAGTAGAGTAATTAATTTAGCTTGCCAGGAAGAGGTCTGTGTTTCTGGAGAGCAGGGTCAAGGAGCTCTTTCCTTCTTGACTTGTATGTATGTCTCAGCTGATGTGATTTTACTTGTGTCTGTGTGTAGAAATAGCAAAACAAATCAGTAGATTAAATGTGCAAATTTTAAATACATTCATTTAGGTGTATTTTATGGTCTTCTGAATTTTGTCTGCATGACTTGCTACTGATTAGCTTCTACAATTTAAGGGAGATTTGCTGTGGTTTTCTTCTTAACTCATCTCTTCTCCAGTGTTGTTCCCTGTGCATGTCATAAGAAATAGGGCTGGAATTTGTTCTGTTTAATGAAAAGAAAAATATTTATATCTGTTTCTTTTTAATAAAAAGCCAAGCCAGTTGATTGTAAAAGATTGCATGTGGTCCCAAACCTCTACTGCTGTTGAAAATGAGCCATCCTCAAGCGATTAATTTATTTTAACCGTAAATCCTCCTTTCAGTATTTGTTTATAGGCAAAATGCTTTTCCTTAATTCTCACATTCCTCTCATTGTCTAATCCTTCTTCCTTCCTTTTCTTACCAAAACACAAAGTATATTATATTCTAAAAGAATCCTACAGCCTCTTTAATGTGCAAAACTAACTTTGGCTATTAGCAAGTGTCAGTGTTCAGAGTGTTATAATTATTTAGTTGCAATACGTTTAATCTTTCTGCTGCTGTGTTCAGACCCATCAAATTTCACAACTCGTATGGAAGACATGATTTGCCCTTCCCACCCGTATCCCCGCCATTCCTCCAGTAGTGTGTTGTACATGATGATGTTTTCTAGCAGGGCTCTGTGTTGAATAAAAAGCACATTCTGTAGCTGCAGCCTTCCTTCCCACGTGATACACACCTGCCATATGAATTAATTACTGCATAGACACAATTTTGCCCTGTAATAGAAGGGAAGAAGTCTTATGCACAGAGACTGCAGGCAACTGAGGAGTTATGTGTGTAGTGGTGCATTTATGGAACAAGAAGAAGAAAAGCAAAGGGCGAGACAAAGCCTGTGTGCCCTCTCAGTATGACATTAAGAAGCGCATGCTTCTGCACAGCATTCTTCTCCTGTTGTCTGTGCAGGCAGCCGCAGCCCTGCTCACCACAAAGCCACCATTGTTCCCAAGGGCTTGGCTCTTCTCATGTGGGGGTGCAGTGGGAGGGGGAGACAGTGATGAGAAATGAATGGTCTTAGTCTTTGTGAGTAGTTTCAATGTCGTATGTAATCAGTTTCTTAGGTTTTCTCTCTTTTTTTTTTATTTGGAAATCTTTGTTCTTTGGTGGTAAATAGTAAAAGTATTTCCTTCTCTTGGGCTCTTTTCCTCTTGATTAGATTTTCTCTGTGAGGAGGCAAGGAAGAGTTGTTTTCTATCAGCAGGCTAAATAGCCTTAGTGAAAATACCCTGTCGGAAGCCTACCAGTCAAAAAAAACCCAACCCAAAAGCAATTGTGAAATACAAAACTGCCATCCAGTGAAAGTATCACAGATGTCAGAGTTGTCAAAGAGTTTTGGTAGTGATTGATGCAAACTCTGTGGCAGTCACCTAACCAGCAAAATGTGCCAGGACTCTGGAAAGCCACAGGGGCTGCTGCTGCAGCAGGTGCTACCAGGGGGAGGTCCTGGGGCATGGTGGTGATGGCCATGATGTGGCCAAGAGATAGGCACTGGGTCCACCCCAAAGCAGCACTTGGTCTTCCCAGGGGCACAGCAAGAGCAGCAAGAATCTCTTGCTCCATCCCCATTGTAGGAACAGCAAAAACAAGCTGCTGCTAAGGTGTGAGCCATTTCTGTTTTAGAAGGAGTAGACAGGGCCATCCAAAAAAGCTGTGTGATTTCTGTTTGCACAGACCATTTCTGCAGCAAGAACATTCACTATAAGTTCTTTTTATGAAGAGTATCTCTTTCTGTTTGTGTATTGTATTGCTCAGTCCAGTCCTAATTCTCATCTGAGTATTTCTATAATAGACACAGAACGTACACATTAAATAAGATCAGATGATGATGGTAATTCTATGACTGTTTAACTTCTATTAAACTTGTCTTCTGGAACTATGCTTTCTTCACATGAGAAGTAGACTGCTATCAATCTTCTAATGTTAGGGTTTTAACAGTATTTGTGATGCCTATCATTACTAATATATCATATTTGACAAATGGCCACTGTGTATTTTTTTATTATTAGCACATTCATACATAATGTAAGATTCTGCTTTATTTATGTGTAAAAATTTTAAGCAACTAATAGGAAATAATAATGATGTAAAATCTGTCTTTATTTCTTCCTAGGTACTTTTCAATGTATCAGTTACAATGGAAGGATGTGATACAACTGGAGGAAGAAAATACGCAATACTTAAGCCTATTGGTTTCAATGAAACCACCATTGTTAATGTGCAGAAAAGCTGTGCCTGTCAGTATGGAGACAGTGCAAGGCACAAAAGAGTATGGGCCGATGAAACTTTTTCTGATGGCAAACAGTCCGATTGCAATGACAATAATTGTAGCTCTAATAGAGATACACTTCCTTCTGAGAGGTGCAGACGACACCAGGACCAGCCCATCTGCAGTGGTCAAGGAAATTGCATAGATGGAAAATGTTTCTGCTACAAAAACAAGCTAGGCAAGGTGTATGGCAAGTACTGTGAAATGGATGATTTTTCCTGCCCGTATCACCAGGGAAACTTATGTTCCGGTAAGCCGCAAAGTTTATGTCTGTATTTTGGTTCTGATTTGTTTTCTGAAGTTTATACACATGATGCAGCTGAAAACAATGACATAAGGCTGTCAAGTACAAGAACTGTGTGTGAAGAATTAGTGTGTGAAATGTCCTGAACAGCCTGGTAGGAATTCATGTGCCTGAGCTTTCTTTACCACAGAGCTATGCACTGTCTTCTAAACTTCAGCACTGCTTTTTAGGGGATTTATTGAGTTTTTCCTAAGTTTAGCTATTTTAAGATTTAAATATGAAACTTCTTCAGAAATAATGATACTGATATCTTGGATAAAACAGTAAAATTATTCCAGGAAGTAAGTTGATACATTTCAATCTAATGGGAATATGAGATACTAAGAGATTAGGAGGAATCATAACTTTCAGATGAGGTTCTGATTTTCTAACACCCTAAATCAGTCTTGTGAGAGATACACTGACACTTGATTTCAAATACTGTTATATATGCTAGCACTGTTCAGAACACCTGCTCCAGGAAGGAGAGTGGAAGTGAAATATAAACAGGGCGAGTTGTTAGAAATTTTTTTTTTTGTGGCCTACTTTATGTTTTTTAAAGAAAGCATGCAAATGGAAACTCCATATGAACAAAATACAAAACATGTACTTTTAAGTTAGAGTTATTAAGGAAAAATGGGGTTGAATCAGTATCATTACTGTGTCTCTACCAGAATATATTTTTTTCTCCTCAGAAGTAATTAAATATTTTAAAATCTGTACTGCTGCCCTGCATCCTTTCATTTCACTCTATACTCACCAATGAGTGAATTGGGGGACCAATGTTTTCCACCACAGCTGGATAAATTTAGAGTAATACTATGGTCTTTAGTAGAGTTATTTTTGTTTTGCTCTGCTGGTGACTGTGAACTTTACATAAAACAAAGAGAAATAATATTACCTAATCCTTTAGATATTTCATTCCGACACAAAGAATTACAGTTCATCTACTCATTCTCTTTCCCTCCCACCAACCAACTTTGCATATTTACTGTTTCTTAACCATAAGCAGACCTTTCAAAACTGTAAGCTCCTAAAGCCTGAGATGTGGTGCCCCGGTCTGCAGAGGAGACAGGGAGATCTTTGTCTAAGAGGTGTTGGAGACTCTCACCTGTGATGGAGTCATGCCCTAGGGTACCACAAGGGAAACCCGCCACCCTGGGCTGTGACTGAGCAGTGTCCCTCTTCATGGGATATTTTCCAGTGCAGAGCCTTGCTCTGAGATGTCCTATAATCCCCTTCCTGACTCCATTTTACCCATCCCAGGCAAAAAAAAGAGGTAGCCTGTACTTTGGCCCCACTCCCATTTAGAGGATCCCGTTGTTTGATGGGACTGTCTCCCTGCAGCTGCTCTGTGGATCCCTGGAGCACAAGAAGGGCCATTGCAGTGTGTGTGAAACTTAGGTACTGCCGAGGCATAGTTGAGGAGACCTCATGAGATTTGCTAGACTTGCCTGTGCTTTATGTCTATATTTCCTAAAGGTGCTCTCACATACTGTAAAAGTGTGGTTAAACATTATCAGCATGTCAGTTGTACACCCGCCTAAATGTGCTACAACATAGAAAACATCTGGATTTTGCCCTAAAGCTCCCACTGCTTTGCCTGGAAAATTGTGAAGGTCACCAAAGGTTCTTCATAGCCTTTGGATCCTTGAGGCTGTGCGTTTTAAGTTCTTACTAAACAACCTACAGTTCATAAGTACAGTACACCCACCTGTCCAGCTCAGCCATCGGACCTTGAGAAAGGCAGAAAAGCAGTGCTGTCACGTGTGCGTCTGAAAAGAAAAGAAAAAAAACAACCTGGCATGTGCATGTGAACTTGATATTCCTTCCTCCACCACATCTAGCTGTTTATTTGAACTGAATGCTTTCTTGCTAAAGAGAAGTTTCCTTAGTTTGCCTGAAGACTGTTTTCCTGGTTGTTGTGTAATTTTTAATCCCCGCTGCTTTGATCCAAGGCAACACAGAAAATTCTAGTAAAACATCTTAGGATGACATCAAGGTAGCAACTTTTGCTCAACAAACAGCAGCCATAAATATGTATCATGCTGGTAATTTCAGCCCAAATTGTTAACTTAAAAACTAATTAGCAAGCCAAGGTCTAAATTAGCTCTGTTTAACATAAAGCACCAGCAATACAAACGTATGCATATAAAAATTGACTCTGTTTTCATGAAAGCATATGACTCAAGGCTATCTGATGTTGTAGGTAATGGTGAATGTGAAGCTGGTAAATGCAAATGCTTTGCTGGCTGGGAAGGTGACCGTTGCCAGTGCTCATTACAATCAGCAAAGCGCTGCCTGAATTCAAAGGGCCAGATTTGCAGTGGAAGAGGAAAATGTGTATGTGGAAAGTGTGAGTGCACAGATCCAAGAAGCTTTGGCCGTTTGTGTGAATATTGTCCTACTTGTAACAAAGCCTGTGAAGAAAACTGGTATGTTTCTTGTGCTAGACTTCACTTCTTAAATCTTTAGTGTTGAAACAAGGAGAAATATTTCTGCTTGGTTAGATGTCTGCTATATTTCTTAGATATTTAGACTTTGGCAAATTGAAACAAGTCACACCTGAGTCTTTTCTCTATGTAGTTGAGGGGTTCACACTGGCATTTAAGAGAATTGCATGTCCGTATCTGTGTTCACCAATCTGTGTCCAACTTTCATTTTTTTGAAGTCAAAGTTGGTGTGTCCTATGAGGATAGGTTTTTCATATATTTATTAAAGGGTGGTTCTTCATATGAAATCTTGTGGGTAGGTAATAAAGACCATAAATTCGGAGCTTTAAAAATAATCAATAGATCCTACTCTTGAATACCACCAAGTCTCCAAATTTTTTTTTGCACACTCCTTGTGTTTCTCAGCTGAAAGAAGGAGGTGTAGAACAGTAGTGGTACTTGTGCATTATTACTGCCATTGGTCAGCAGAGCAGAACTGGTCTTTCCCAGAGAACAACATTCTCCATTACTCAGTTTTAAACCACTTAGTCTTTGCTGTGCTAGTTTTAAAGCATTCCTTACCCATGTAAAGGAAGGGACAGCATGGAAGTCAAAATGAGCAGCCCAAGGAGGAGAGAAGATAGAACAAGCTTTGAGTGGCACATTGAGTGGTGCTGGCTTAAAGAGTCAATGAAGCCCTGTCCTTGGGCACAGCTCTTCTATGCCCTCCCATCAGCACATGTAATCTTCTGCATCCCACCGTGGCCGAGAGGGTGAGATCAGCCTTTCGTTGGAAAGGGAATTGTGATCAAAACAGAATTGTTGTTTGGCTGTATTCACTTGAATTATAGCTCATCTGGTGAGTATGCTGGAGAGCCAAGCTGGGCCATGTCTGAAAAGGTGACTCATAAGACTTCACTAGATAAAATGCAGTTTGCCTTGCTGGCTAACACTTTTTCAAAGGCGCTGTGAAATGTGTGCCTTTAATAAATTCAGAAGATGGCATAACTTCATTAAAAATTCAGTCAAAGCTTTTTCAGGATCACTTGTGATGTCCATCTTCTGCAAGGCTATACAGTGAAAATGGTAAGACTGACAGTGCTGCCTCCCTCTGTGCTTCTGACCCTCTGAAAAGCCCAGTAGAGGGAACTTTCGTGGCTTTGTCTTAACATAGGATCCAAAAAATTATTAACAAAGCTGTGTTTCCTACACCCATCTCTTCCCTTCAGTCCCAGCATGTATCCCAGTGAGACTGATTGATAAGGAAAGACTAGGACTGAACTGGAGGCTGACAGCTGAAGAAGAGGTGCTGGACCCTTAGCTACACCCCCCAAAAAACTCAGATCACAAAAGGCAGAGCAGGGGCTGGATGAATGTGGCTGAAAGCCAAAGACATGTTTTGCTTTATGACTTCTGACTAGTTGGTTCTGAGAAGCATCACAAGGACAAAATGCTGAGAGAGGCATCACATTTCAGAAAAAACTAAATAAATGTCGCAATGTTTTTACTAACAGGAAAGCATTATGTGCAAGCGATACGTCAGCCTGTTGATACAATCTCTTTAAGGGGAGTACAGAGAAAGACATAGGTTTATAATTACATTTATATTTTACAGGAATTGTGTTCAGTGCCATCATTCTAACAATGCATCTCAAGCAAAACTTGACCAGTGCACAGCCTCATGCGCTTACCTGCTGCATTATATTGACCAAACTTCAGGTACGTGACATTTTCTAGGTCATTTTAATAAGAGATGAAAATCTGTTGCGATAAATAATTGAATTCACCACTGTTACAATGTCTTTCAAAAGTGTGTCATATTATTACAATAAGAAATAAAGCAGGAAAAAGAGAAAAATCACTCATAGCTTTAGGGAAAGTAAAAGATAAATAATAACAGGAAATGTGATTGGCAAGCATTGCTAAATCAGATTTCCCAGCTCCTTCAGAAGTCACGTCTAATAATAATGAATCCTGCCTGGGCAATACTTAAAGAAATATTTATAAAAATCTGTTATGGCATCTGTATGTTTTACTACTTTGCATATGCTTACATTATTTGACATTGACATTGACAGAAATGAGAAAGAATGGAGTAGAATGCTTACCTCACGTTCAGTAATGTTTAAATGTTCCTTTCAAGTATAAAAAACTGTACAGTTATGAGGGCTGTGGAAGAAAAAATTTTTTTTTAGTAGAATTTCGTAAAGCTTAATCAGTCCACGCTGCAACAAAAATGCAGGTAAATGGTTACCTTCTGTCACTTCGCATTTTTGTACATCGTTTTATCTTGCAGTTGTTCATAAGTGAGAAAACTAACTGTGAATACTTTTCTCATAACTTCAGGATTAATTAAAGGAAAGCTTGCTGTGCGAGAGAGGTTTACCAGTGAGGAGAACACTGGACAAAGATTCAAGAAACCACATTTTCTTTCATATTTTGCCAATGATCTGCACTGTAATCTTGTGAAGATTAAACTGTCTTGGCCCCATACATTTCTAACAATTCATCCTCTCTGTTTCAGCTATAAACTCACCAGCTTACGGGGAATTTACGGTGGTCAAAACAGTGATGCCTCAGTCTTAGCTCTGTAGATTAAAGGAATAATAGTTCGACCATTTTGCTACAGTGGATCTTAGTCAAAATTGCCTTTCATGATATGCCCTGCTTTAAAAGCTTGCATATGGCAACTTTTCCCCTTAACTTCCCTTAAGTTATTTTCCCTTAACTTTTATCAGGATCCTGTTACATTTATGCAACATTACTATGCAGTGGTAGATATAACTGTGTTTGAGGGATGTGCCTATTCCGTATGTTAGGCTTTACACTTGTGTTTTCTTTTCGTTGCAGAATGTTTCTCTGGACGAAGCTACTTTAGAGTCTTTTCCATAATCTTTATAGTTACCTTTCTGATCGGGTTGCTTGTTGTCCTTATCATCAGGCAGATAATTCTGCAGGGGAGTAGCAATAAAGTTAAATCTTCAGCTGATTACAGAGTGTCTGCAACAAAGAAGGTAATTGATTTCAGAGCCATCATACTCAGTAATCTTTTTCTTGCACATAAAATTAGCTAATTGTTGATAAAAATTGTATCTTCTCCTTCAAGGATAAGATGTTTTTGCCTACTGTTTGTACAAGAACAGTAACATACAGACGTGACAAACCAGAAGAAATAGATATCAACATCAGCAAGTTACGATTAAACGAAACTTTCAAGTGTGAATTCTGAAGACAGTGTGTTTTCTGCAAATGTCTATTTCCATCATGCTCAACTTTTAAAAAGTTACCTTTTGTACTCTGTCGAAGTCTTGACTGTTGCCATATGGTTTTGTGTCATGCAATTTGTTGAATACTGTAACAAAGTGACATGTAAGCGTATTCACATAATGTGACTATGTTTGAAACTATAGCTGCTGTATTTTTTACTTTTTTTTTTTTTTGAAAGAGAAATGTGCGTGACTACTGTTCAGGAACATTAGTGTTGATGTAGCACTTTAGCATATTCTAATTTATTTAGTTATGGCCTAGAATGTAGATATGAACCGGTCTGACAAAGCACTGATCTCACTCTACATGTAGCTAGTATTGATGTGCTCTGTGGGAATGGACAAAAACTGTGACTGAAATATTAACATTGCTGTATATTATAGCAACAGATAAAACTATTCAGATGCTCTTAAATAGAGTAAACGGTACATTTATAGTTCTCTCAAGTTGACTAAATTCCACTGATTTGTCTGCTTTAGCCTCTTAGCTTCTCCTCATTACTTAATAACAATGACTGGATTAAATGAGTGCTTAGTTACTGGTGTGGGTGTACAGTTGTGTGTGTATATGCACACACATGTGTGTACACATGCACAGTTAAATTATATATAGTTTTTTATCTGTTATGGTGTCACTTAAAGATAATTTATATCTGATAAAGAGTAATTTTTAGCTTTTCACTTGTTTCAACATAAAAAATTATATATGAATTTAAAGTTATTTGGAAACTGAGTGGCTCCACAAAATGGGTTCCTCTGTCCAATAGCATCATCCACATGATGTTCACTGCCGGATGACTTCACCTTTGGAGTCAGAAGCATCAACTCCATTGCAAGCAGATAAGTTACACCAGAGCTGTGTTTGGTTTGCTAGCTACATGTCAGTGTTTTGCCAAATAAGGGCTTTGTTCTTTTTGTATTATGTCAGACATAAGTCTGATTTTACACACATGCTCTTTTTTCTATGTAAATTAGTCGATGGGCTTAGTTTTTGTGAATCCTTACATAACCACTTCAATTTTTTTGACTGTGCACTGAGAAATGTGTCCAGTGTGATATGAAAAAGAACCTGGAGTTTGGAAGAAGGTGAGGAAAATAGGAGTCTTTTTCTCAAGAGAATACATCAATTGACTTCATAAATGTGAGATCAATTTCTGCCTTCTAAACCCTTCTAAACATAGTGGGACCAACATAAGCTTATCTGAAAGCAGAATTTGAGCTACAAGGTCAAGCAGAAGCATGTTCTTACCCCTGAAACCAGCTATAGTGGTAGAAGACTTGTTATTGTTATATGCTAGTTGGAAGAGTCAGCCAACAGTCTGATTTACTAACTTTATGCTGCCGAAACCCTACGAAAGTCTGATCGACCTCTAATGCACCAAAATCTTGCTCGTAAAAAGAAAAATCATCTCAGAAGACAGTACGCAATGTATCATTGTAGCAACATTATTTACTGATACTAAATATTGGTCTGTATTTGTCATAGTTAAGGGTTACAGAAACAAAGCAGGACCTCTTTATATGCAGTTTTTAGAAATTAGTATATATTCATATTTCCTATTCTGTATTTCTTCTGTAAATTCCCACTGAAATCTGAGGAGTATACGTGTGAAAGGCAGGCAGGATGCAGAACAAATAAGTGTTATGTGAGTGTTCACAGTTTCTTGGGTCATGGATCACGTGAGGTTGAGAAAAATAGTATCGAGAGAATGGGCCTTCCATTAAATTGTCATAAAAGCTTTAGATTTTAGGGATTTTTTTTTTTAATGTAAACAAGACTCTCAAATGTTTCTAAAGCAGTCTTCAAAGTAGTCCCTGAGCTTTCTACCATGCAGGTAAAAGTGTCTCATTTAAAGAAAAGGGGGTTTCCTCACACTGACCCTGATTTTAATGATAGCTTAATTGTAATATCTTAATTACAGATTAATTCTGTAATCTATCAAGTATACCTTAAACTTTAATTTTCTTTTGAAACACATAGAACCATTTTCCTCCCGTGTAAATTAACAGATTGCAAACAGTTGGTTTCAGTAGGATAAAGATAAAAGATTGATAAAGGTTTACCTGCTATTGTCCTCGTCAAAATTCATTAGTATTTTTGAGTAGGAAACAAAGTCTCTGCTTATCTCTTTCACTTAACAAAACAAAACAAAACAAAACAAAATTAAAAGCTCAGCGGAGAATATCTGAATATACAACAAAAGATGTTCTTATGTTCTTTAAACAGTGTGATAATTTTTTTTAACAAAAAAGATTCCTTGGAATGTATTTCTCATAATGGTCTTTAAAGCTATCAGCGAAGTGATAGCTAATGTTTTTTCTTTAGAAATTGCTTCTCACTCTCAGAGGGAGTTAAATGATGTGGGTAGGGGACAATAGAGCTGAGTTCTTTGTGGAAGAAAGATGTGAGCTGTAACACCCATCTTCCAGGCACATCACACTGCTACTATTTTTCTTCTGTAGCACTTAGTTGGCATTGCAGTGCTGCCTGTGGAGGGGCACGGCCAGTATTTCCTTATCAGACACCTGCCTGAATGTTTAAAATGCTCTGGTCAAATGGAGCAGACTCACAGGACAAATTGCACTGTAAGCTGCTTGCTGTCCTGAGGTTAAAAAAAAGTATATTAAAAAAAAAAAGTTTTTTAAGGAAAAAAAAAAGCTTCAGAAAAAAAAAAGCTTTTCTTGCATCTCCCTCATGGCTTTGCTGTATTGTGGAGGAGGCTAGTGAAAAAGAATAAGCTGCTGCTAATGTGACAGGTCAAGGCTTTTAGAAGGCCCATGGGGAGCTTATACAGAGCAGGATCCTTGGGAGGAGGCTTTGTTTCTAGGGATGGAATCTATCCATGAGAAACTCTGGCTTTGCTTGGTACTTGTTTCCCTCTGCCTTTGACCATGTTTTTCAGAAGAGCTGCTGCAGGAGATGAATAGCCCAACAAAAGCCTCACTATTTAGGGATCTGTGTTCCCTCAGCACATGACCTTAAATGAGAAAGCAGCCTGTAATTCACAAGGAATTTCCTCAGCGATTGCAGAAGGACTCTGCTTCCTATAGTGCTTAATGTGGGAGATATTAAAGACGAATTAGTTCATATTAGTTTTCAATGTATTGTGCGTCAAAGATGCTCATAAAAATAGGGGGAAATATATCTAGCCTCATAATAGAATGTTCCAAATTTCTTAAACAAAACTTCTTATACTGGGCTTCTTCAAAAAATGAACAAAAAGTCAAATAATTCAACTGCATGTCTATACCCAAAAATATACTAGCAGATACTGCTGCATCTCATCATTGGTTTGGGGAGTTGTTCTCAGATTTGCTCCCACAAACAGAGAGCATGTGCACGTCTTTTTCACAGCAGATTTGTTAATGTTAAAATCCATATGTATAATTTTCAAATTCTTATCCCACTTTTTTTGCCTTTAACTGTTCATTTGTGTAACATTTCAGAAATGAGAAGTTTGTGCTATTAAAAAGCATGCGTTTTACTTCAGATTTTTTTTAAAGTCTCTAAAATGAAGAAATACTATGAGTTGATGATTTCCAAGCATCATGAGTACGTTTATAACATTGCTACACAAGCGTGTGGGAAACTAGCTGTTTCATCCAGAAAACGTGCACATGGTATGTGAGGAATTTTCATTGTGCCCAGCTGAAATTCCCTTACGTTCACAAGGAATGTTGAAAGTGAACCTTAAAAAGGAAGGACGTTTGTATAGGCATAGTTTACATTTTATCCATTATTTTCAATTGGATTTATTTTTTCCTCTCTACGGTGTCATGAAAACCTGCTATGTAAAGTATTCTTCAGACTGCAGTGGAAAAAATTATTTTTGCGGTCTGATCATATATAATTATTTGTCTTCTGCTTAGTGTGCATACCTAAATGTACATGTGTGGCAAACTGTGGGCGTGAACGTGTGAAGCAGCTTCAGGCAACCCTTAGTCCCAAAGTAGCCATAAGGCCTAGTCATGCCCAAGGCAGAGAGACGCAAGGGTACTGCTGCCTGTGCAGGGACGTGTGGACGGATGGCATCCTCCACAGGCACAATGCATCCTACAGTTCCCAGAATTGGGAACGATCCTACAGCATCCCTGCAGAGGTGGTGCTCTGAGACCACGCTTCTCCATTTGTCAGGGCAGGAAGCCTCTTCAAAGTAGGTTGGCTTGGCAGAGGTGGTACAGTTTCTGTCCTAGGCGCTTAGCCACACGCTGTCCTCAGCACTGCAGGCTTTTCACACCCTTACGCATCAAAAAATGCTCGCCTGTGGCCCAGCAAGGAACCGCCTGTGCCAGCACGTACTGCAAACCCGGCTGCTGCAGACCTCCACTGAAGCTTCTGGAAAGTCTTTGGGCATCTGCCCG